ATGGCAAACAAAGGACCTGCCTATGGACTGAGCAGAGAAGTACAGATGAAGATTGACCAAAAGTACGACCCAGAGCTGGAGATCATCCTGGTGCAATGGATTGGTGGTCAGTGCGGCAATCAGGTTGGCCAACCAGAGGAGGCTGGGAAAGCCGGCTTCCAGAAGTGGCTGAAGGATGGCGTGGTAAGTAGACTATATTGGCGATAAATCAGTCGACTGTCTTGGTGTTGGGAGGCCATTGGAACTATTGTAGTAGGAGGACCATTACTTTTCCAGGGTGAAATAGGTATTATGGGTAGAAAATTATTAGCCGATGAAGTTTTATACTGTGGTGAGCTTCAAATGTTGCCAGAGACAAAATGGCAGCCAGATTTGTAGGTTCACAAGTGAAACGCTTCTTGCACCTACAAAAACCACCAAGTACTTAAACTTGACCATTCATGTTTAAGATATGGTGAGCAATGGGGAAGGCTCACTTTTCAACACATCAGGTCATGACTTATATGTGGCAAGATAAAAAGGAGATCAGACAGGCCTTCCCAATTCACATTTCCCCTTTCTCACTGGACTTGGCTTGTAGTCTCCATTGGTGCCTCATAATTTGCTGAGAAATGGCTGAATTTGGATACCATCATCTGATATTTATGGTCATAATTGAAATAGTTAGTACTTGACCAACCTTCTACTGCTTTCAAGTCTAGTTGAAGCTTACACGGGTCTGATGGCTAACCCCAAACCCACTTGACTGCAGTTGGAGGTAGTGATTGGCCATTCAGATATTCGGGGCTACAACATGAAAGAAAGGGAAAAAGTTACATGCTTCCTCAACACCAGGTATTTCTGTATGTTCTGGGCCAACATGATGGAGGAGGGAAGAGGTCTATAAAATGGAGTATACGGGTTGGGGTGGGCAGGTGAGGATGTTCCTTTGCCTGGGCAAAGCACAGGTTAACAGTAATGTAAGTCTATACTTAGTACCATTATTAGTTATCCCACTATGTATGCCCAGGTCAGCCCATTTGCAGCCCTAAATCTCCAAAACCTAGCCACAAAACCAAGGCCTTTTCCTTCTGCGACTTCCAGGAGCCTTGGCCCAAACCTGCCACATCTTTAGCCACTAAGGTCTCTTATTGGATAACAGGACAGTGGGGAAATGCCAGACGGTGCAGAAGTTGTACATTCAATGGCAAGACAAAAAGTACACGACAGGTTGATTTTATAGAATCCATAGGTCTACTTAACCCATTACCAATAAGAAGACCAAAAGTCCAACCTTGATAATCATTAAAAGCACAGCAGGACAGTGATGAGATTTATAATGAGGAGAAAGATTTATAGGTGACCTTGCACCTTGAGGAGCACAGTTAGCCTGCAGGTCGGCAAATATGAGGAAAGGATTAGCCGGTACAGAAGGTCAGTGGACCTCACCAAGTTCCCATCTTCTTCCTCTACAGATCCTGGGTCATCTGATCAACTCCCTTGCTCCAGGCTCCATTGCCAAAATCCAGGCCTCCGCTATGGCCTTCAAACAGATGGAGCAGGTGTCCCAGTTCCTGAAGGCCTGTGAGAAATACGGAATACCAGCTAATGACCAGTTCCAGACTGTTGACTTGTGGGAAGGTGAGAATCATAACATAACATGCAACTGGAGGTGAGAGAACATCAACGGCAATGATCCAGGAAGGTTTAGAACCTCTTTTCATTTTTGGTACCCACTAGGGAAATTTCCCAACACTCTCTGTTCCAATGACACCCAATGAGACAGGGCAGAACAAGAAAGCAAGGGAGAAATCTCCCCCGTGGGGACCCAAAGAAGACACAATTTTATATATATATATATATATATACACACGTACACATATACATATACACACACACTTGCCAAAGGTATTGGGCCAGCCCTCCAAATCATTGGATTCAGGTGTTCCATTCACATCCACATGTGTATAAATCAAGCCCCTAGGCATGCAGACTGCTTCTACAAACATTTGTGAAAGAATGGGTTGCAGTGGATTTAAGCGTGATACCATGATAGGTGGCCTTCGGCGTCAGCATACCAAGACATTTTGAACAATTTCATGCTCCCATCTTTGTGGGAAGAGTTTAGGGATGTCCCCTTCCTGTTCCATCATGACTGCCCACCAGTGCACAAAGCAAGGTCCATAAAGACATGGATGAGCGGAGTTTTGGGTGGAGGAACATGACTGGCCTACACAGAGTCCTGACCTCAACCCCATAGAACACCTATGGGATGAATTAGAATAGGGACTGCGAGCCAGGCCTCCTCCCCCGACATCAGTGCCTGACCTGACAAATGTGCTTCTGGAAGAATGGTCCAACCTTCCCATAGACACCCTCCTAAACCTTGTAGACGGCCTTCCCAGAAGAGTTGAAGCTGTTATAGCTGCAAAGGGTGGGGCCAACTCAATATTGAACCCTATGGACTAAGACTGAGATGCCACCATTAAAGTTCACATGCGAGTAAAGGCAGGCAGCCCAATACGTTTGGCAATATATATATTAAAAAGAAAAATCATAAAATCACTTTTTAGTAGTCCTATTGAGTGTAGACTTTTTATTTTTTTCCCCCGACAGTCAAACGCAACAAGTAAAAAAAAAAAAATGCCAAAACTGAACAAATATTTATTTACTTCACAGGAAAGGACATGGCCAGTGTCCAGCGAACTTTGATGAACTTGGGTAGTTTAGCTGTTACAAAGAGCGACGGACATTTCAGTGGAGATCCCAACTGGTTCCCCAAGTAAGTTATTCCATAGACTTCCCTTTCACAGGTAAAACCAAATGGGTTCATATCAAAGTTTTTATTACTTTTTTTTACCATGTGACTGAAAGTTTTTCAAACCTCATTGGACTGAAAAACCTTATCTTGGTGTAGTTGACTTAAGTTTTTAGTGTTTTGTGGGTGCTGGAGAGGTAAGTCCCCAATAGCCTCTTCCATCTCTAAAAGGGACTATAGATCCCTGAACTGAGTTCCCAGGTTTGCATACCTGCTGTGCTCATTATGAGGGGTTCCCACCAACCATACGCCAAGTTTCCAGATCTGTACACCTGCTGTGCCCATTATGAGGGTTTCCCCATCATCCATGTACCGTGCTTCCGGGTCTGTACACCTGCTGCTCCCTTTGTAAGGGGTTACCATCATCCTTGTGCTTTATTCCCAGGTCTGTACATCTTTGCCCATTATGAGGAGTTCTCACCAACTCTACACCCTATGTGTTTGGTGCATGCTGCAGAGGTAAAGTCTCCAGTAGCCTCTGCTATCTCTTGGGGGACTATAGATCCCTGAACCGAGTTCCCAGGTCTGCACTCCTGCTGTACCCATTATGAGAGTTTCCCACCATTCTTTTGCTGAATTCCCAGGTCTGTACACCTGCTGTGCCCATTATGAGGGGTTCCCACCATTCCTAATTTGAGTTCCTGGATCTGCACATCTGCTTAAAATGTAGAATTATTGTGATTCAGAAATTCGGATACATCCAAATCTCTGAATAACGAAAATATAGTCCAAAAGTAATTTCAGAACATGTCTAGTGCTGAATTCCCAGGTCTGCATACCTACCGTGTCCATTATGAGGGGTTCCCACCAACCCTATGCTGCATTCCCAGGTCTGCGCACCTGCCCTGTCCATTATGAAGGTTTCCCACCAACCCTATGCTGAATTCCCAGGTCTGCGCACCTGCCGTGTCCATTATGAGGGGTTCCCACCAACCCTATGCTGAATTCCCAGGTCTGCGCACCTACCGTGTCCATTATGAGGGGTTCCCACCAACCCTATGCTGCATTCCCAGGTCTGCGCACCTGCCGTGTCCATTATGAAGGTTTCCCACCAACCCTATGCTGAATTCCCAGGTCTGCGCACCTGCCGTGTCCATTATGAGGGGTTCCCACCAACCCTATGCTGAATTCCCAGGTCTGCGCACCTACCGTGTCCATTATGAGGGATTCCCACCAACCCTATGCTGCATTCCCAGGTCTGCGCACCTGCCGTGTCCATTATGAAGGTTTCCCACCAACCCTATGCTGAATTCCCAGGTCTGCGCACCTGCCGTGTCCATTATGAGGGGTTCCCACCAACCCTAAGCTGAATTTCCAGGTCTGCGCACCTGCCGTGTCCATTAGGAGGGGCTCCCACCAACCCTATGCTAAATTCCCAGGTCTGCGCACCTGCCGTGTCCATTATGAAGGGTTCCCACAACCCTATGCTGCAGTCCCAGGTCTGCGCACCTGCCGTGTCCATTATGAAGGGTTCCCACCAACCCTATGCTGAATTCCCAGGTCTGCGCACCTGCCTTGTCCATAGGAAGGGTTCCCACCAACCCTATGCTGAATTCCCAGGTCTGCGCACCTGCCTTGCCCATTAGGAAAGGTTCCCACCAACCCTATGCTGAATTCCCAGGTCTGTGCACCTGCCTTGCCCATTATGAAGGGTTCCCACCAACCCTATGCTGAATTCCCAGGTCTGCGCACCTGCCGTGTCCATTATGAGGGTTTCCCACCAACCCTATGCTGAATTCCTGCTGAATTTGCCGTGTCCATTATGAGGCGTCCTGCTGAATTCCCAGGTCTGCACACCTGCCGTGTCCATTATGAGGGGTTCCCACCAACCCTATTCTGATTTTTCCAGGTCTGCACACCTGCCGATGAGGGGTTCCCCAACCCTATGCTGAATTCCCAGGTCTGCACACCTGCCGTGTCCATTATGAGGGGTTCCCACCAACCCTATTCTGAATTTCCAGGTCTGCACACCTGCCGTGTCCATTATGAGGGGTTCCCACCAACCCTATGCTGAATTCCCAGGTTGCGCACCTGCCCATTATGAGGGGTTCCCACCAACCCTATGCTGAATTCCCAGGTCTGCGCACCTGCCGTGTCCATTTTGAAGGGTTCCCACCAACCCTATGCTGAATTCCTAGTCTGCACACCTGCCGTGTCCATTATGAAGGGTTCCCACCAACCCTATGCTGAATTCCCAGGTATG